TCCTCCTCAGGTGCAGCAGAGGGCAGGAATGCACAGCTGTCCTGAGATGGTGCGATTGGCTCACAGAAGCAGGCCTGTTTTGGACTGCAGCTGTAAGTCTATCCGCTGCAGGAGAGCGTGATTTTTCCAGAGCTCATCTGGCGACTGGGGATGGGGCGCAGGGATCAGTGCTCAATGTGGCCTCGATCATGTGGCTTTCACAACAAGAGCCTAAGAGCTCTGCTTGGATGGCCCTCTGCCCCTTCTTCTGCCTTGCAGTACCGGAAACCGGGAAGGTAGTGAAGGGCTGGCTGGGCTCTCTGTGTCCCGCCATTGGTCCCCTCAGCTCGGCTCTCTGGTGAAACAGCCTGCAGCCCTGGCTGTTCCCCCTTCCTCCAGCTCCCTCCCCACGTAGTGTATATAGGACGCTTCACAGCAGGCACAACTAGCTGCTCATCAAAGCGCATACGTCCCCCTACCCCCGTGCCCCCTTTTCTCCCTAATTACCACGTGAGGGGCAGTGCATTTGGTTGAGGAAAATTAACTAGAATGCTCTAGGGAGATGCTTTGGCAAGTGGCGATAGGGGGTCGCTATCATGGAAACCGTTCTCCCCTCCTCCTTCTCCCCCTTAGTGGAAATGCAGCACCCAATCAGAGATGAGATTCCAGGTTAACCCTTCCAGTGCTGCCTGCTGTGGGTCACAGCCCAGCTCTTAAATGTCACTTAGAGAAGATAGGGTGCAGGGGTTTTGGTTTTTAAACAATCACTATCTAACCTTTTCCGTCAGCAGTCATAAGGACCGTGTTATATATGTCTGTATGAATCCCATTTTGCATATTGGGGGGGGGGACTAATCTGAGCATTTGGGGGGGGGGGAGTTGTTTTCTCAACGATCTGTGGCTGAAATGGATACTTTTGATATCTGGATCCAGCTCAGTAGTCTGGGTCCAGCTCTTTTAGCCGTAGTACTAAACAGATAGAGAATGTCCGAATAGTACTATTACATGAGTGATATCCCAGAGGTTTTCTTTAAAAGCAGCCATGGGGAGTGGGGTGGGATTTGGATTGTTGCTACAGCTATTTTAAAAAAAACATTAAAAAGTTCTCTACTCCCGTCTCCCATAGTTCCCCCCCCACCCCACTTCTGGGATCTGAATGAAACATACACAATATGGAACCATTTCTGTTGGGGGAAGCAATGTGAGGGAGAAGGGTTTGAACTGAGGCTCGTCCCCTCGTGTCTTGATCCAAATTGGGAGCCCACCTTCCCTTACCTGGAGATCAATTCACAGCTTTTACACAAAAGGTCTACAGTAGTGTGGCTCCATTAGTTTTAAAGGGAATTACCTTTAACTTAGGAGCTGCGGTGGCTCAAGTGGTTAAGACGCTGAACTGCAGGCTGTGGAAGGTCGTAGTTCAGCAGTTCGAGACCCGAGTGTGCCGCATGACAGAGTGAGCTCCCGTCTCTAGTTCCAGCTCCTGCCAACCTAGCAGTTCGAAAGCAAAGAAATTGCAAGTAGAGAAATAGGTACCACTGAAGTGGTACGGTAACAGCGTTCCGTGCGGCTTGGTGTTAAGTCATGCCGGCCACATGACCACGGAAATGCCTTCGGACAGCGCTGGCTCTTTGGCTTTGAAACGGAGATGAGCACCGCAACCCTAGAGTCGGATTCGACTGGCTTTCGAGCAAGGGAACCTTTACCTTTTACCTTTAATTTGGTGTGTCTGTGGGGTCATTGTCTTCATCTGGCAGGCTGTATTAGACCTCTGTGTGGCATAATGGAATTGCTGAGAGCATGTGTTCAAATGTGAACGAGAGCCTTAACAACACATTATGTTTTTCCTCAGTGTGGATTGAGAGATGTGTTCTGGAGTTTCATATTTCTTGGGCGCACTCAAATCCAGAATAGCATCAAATTCAGAATAAAGAATAGCAACTGAGCAAAAAACCCAGATTTGGTCTGCCTCTTTTGAGTCCAACAGATATGGAGAGATTGATTTGTCTTGCTATTTAGAGGGCAGAAGGAAATGCCTGGCTCCCTAAATGATAGGACATCGGCTAATGACCATCTCTTTTCTCCACTCTCCTTTCCTAGGGAAGACAGGACACGCTGAAGTAGTCAGGATTGTGTTTGACCCACAGAAAATCAGCTACGAGGACCTTCTCAAAATTTTCTGGGAGAGCCATGACCCCACTCACGGTAAGACCTAGCAGCAAAGGAACGGGAGAGCTTCTCTGCTTACGTTATGTTCACTTGAATGTCAGTCATCATTAGTGGTTACAGTAGGATATTAAAGGAGAGGAAATAGAATCTCATTATTGAGGCATAGCTGGCTTTGGGTTTCTGATCTGCCACATGTACCAGACATAGCGCAGAACCCTGACTCCTTAGTTTGCCTAACCGGGTTTCACCTTGCCAGTAGACACTCAAATCTCGGTTTGACTCGACGAATGATGGTCTCATTGCCCTTGCCCTGTAGCTGGAGAAGGCAGTGCCGTGAAACAAGCAGGATGTCTGCATTTACAAAACCACCAATAAGGCTATATTGGTGGGAGCTGGGTCTTTTAAATGTCCCATCAAAGTGCTTTTGTATTCTATAAGAGGAAACAGCAGTTCCCAGGAATCTACGTGTAGAATTAGATTATGTATCTAATTTCACTTGTGAAATGCCATGGCACATTGAAGATGCCATTCTGGCAATGCAGTCCTGTGCTGTATAAAACTGTTGAGTTCAGTGGGTTTAGTCACTCTGTGTATGATTTCACTGTGAGTCTTTAGTAGTGTCTGCTCTGACCACCACCAGCTTTCCAAGCACTTGGGGGGGAAAACCCTTCCTAGCCCTGCTTTTAGAGATCCTTTTAACTGGAGGCACCTGAAATTGAACTGGGATGTTGCATATGCAAAGCATATGCTCTGTCATGCTACCAGTATGTTGGAACTGTCAATGTCGTCTGGTTAGCACGCTCTGTCTCCTCCCGCACGGCATCCCCAGCAAATGCCAGCTAGACCTCACCGCACCTTGTAACAGCACGTTTTTTCCCAATGAAATTGCCTTCTGCAGAGGATATCTGGAGCTCTCGGGGAGAGTACTTCTGTTAATCCCTCTTTTACTGAACAGCATTTGGCATTTCTGGATGCCAGCCTCCAAAGCCTGTGGCTCCCTCTTTACATGGCTTCCACTGCCATTCTGAAGTGTGGGGGCCTAGAATGGTAAGAACATGGGGTTTCTCGTGTGGGAGGAGGGGCTCAGTTGCAAAGAGAGAAGAGAGTGGAGATTTTTTTTTTAATAACCAGAAGGTGGAAGGGGAGAAGAAGAGGGAAGTCTGTTTGAAACCCGCCTCACGTCAGTGCTGAGTGACAGTGGGGGAGGGTCGGAGGTCTGTGGAAGGCTGAGCTTTTATAATGAAGTGTAATTTTAATGAGGAGATTAGCATTCCATGTGTGTCACTGGCAGGGCACTCCTCTGGGCTTGTAATTGTGTGTTTGCGTTTAATGAGTAACGTGTGTCTGTGGAGATGACATATTGGTGTGTGTGGGGGGGAGTATTAAGCTTAGGCTGAGCCACTGAGAGATGTTGCAGGCTTGGGGGGTGGGGTTCTCCCCTCACAACTGTCTCATATCCTGAACAGAAGCTATACCTAGTGGAGGGGAATTACAGCAATACCCTTGCTCTGATTTAAGCATGAACCCAACGCACAAGAAGAACATGCCCATATGATGTTAGGCACACTCAGTGTCTCATTCAAACTGGGCCTCTCTGCATGTAATTGTGTTCCAGTTGTGTTCCACCTGCAGAATGCCAACCTGGGTTGTGTGGCTCTTTGGCATGATAATGCTACGCATGTAACAGCTGAGGGCCTGGTTTAATTTGCAATGCTGGATGCAATCGCTGTCCTTGCACATGTCACTTTGGACTTTCAGTTTCACAGATCCTGCTCCAAGACACTTAACATTTAAATGTAAAATGACATTGGGGTGTGTGTGTGTGTGTGGCTTTATCTGCCTCCTAACCACTAGGCTGCACTGCAGCAGTGAAGGTGCAGACTCTGACCTTGCAGATAAAGCCCCCCCCTGCCCCTGCCTCAGTCACAAAAGCCCAGGAATGGCTGATGATCTCTTAGTATGTGTCTTATCGAATCCTCACAGTGCAGGAAGACTGCTATATTGGAGAGCTCTGTGCAGTAACATCCTGGCAAGAAGGAAGCTCTCCTTGCATGCAGACTGCAAGCCGAGACCGCTCACAACACCAAAGTTTGGGGAGGTTTTGTCCTTTTGAAGGAGACAGTCACATAGGGACAGAGAATGCTTAACTCCTTGCTCCGTCACCGGCTTAGTGCCCATGTGCTCATTTAGCTTGTTGCGTCAAGGCTGTTCATCTAAAGCATTTGCATCCTTGTTTGAAGTCAGCTCACAATGTCTGGATGACTGGATTTATTTATTTATTTATTTTATTACATTTATACCCCACCCTCCCCGCGAACGGGCTCAGGGCGGCTCACATAGGGCACCAAGTGCGTTCAATATACAAAATGACATAATACAAAATACAAATTACAAGAAGTAAAAATCAGTTCTATGGATGCACATAAAGACTGCTAACATCTTGCGTAGCAGGGGGGAAGGTTGGGGTGATGGAAAGATGTCGGGGTGATGGATCATTGCAGCTGAATGTTTCTCCTACTCTCTGCCTTCCGTGCAAACAAATGTGTTTGCTGTACCAAAGTTAGGTGCGTGAGCATCATCATCAGTGATCCAGCACCCTCTAGCAGAGAAAGATCTTTCCCAGCATGTGCTGTCTCAGAGCCTTTAACGGGAGGTATAGGGGACTGAGCCTGGGACCTTCTGCATGCAAACATATTGTGTCAGATCTTGTCAGAAAGTCCTGTGCATGCAAAGGGGGCAATTTCCCCTTCCTGTGGCATCCCTCCCCTTCATGTTGCTCCTGGGGAGGTCCCCATCCTCCATGAACAGCTTTTCCTGGGGCATTTTTGGCTGCATAGGGGAGCGGAGCTATGCTTCTGAGGACATAATTTAGACCGGATCCAACCCATTGTGCTTTCTTGGGTACATTTATATAGCTCCCTTTCTCCAAGGAGCTCTGGAAGCTCTACATGGTTGTCCCTTCTTCCTTTTATCGTCATAACAACCCTGTGAGGTAGGTTAGGATGACAGTGTACGGCTGCAGTCACACGGAGCATTAGGCACGCTAGAGGGACGGAAGATAGGCGGATTTTCCGGGCGCGATCTCACCGCCACATCTGGGAAGCGTAGAGCTCCCGTGACAATCCCAAGGCTTCCCGCCGAAGATGCACGGTTAAAAACTAGTACCTCGGAGGTACTAGTTTCCGGTAACCGCGGGGCAAGGGCGGGCGTCTGATCGCGTTTCCGGTAGTAGTTCCGGTGCCCATCAATGTCCCCTCGTATAAAGGGGTTTTTCCCAACTGTCCATGGGATGCGCACAAACACCCAACGGGGCATGCGCACACTTTGGTGTCCGAAAAAACCCCACCCGTTTGCCGCGCCGCACCGCTTCTTTGCTGCAGCGCAGGATTGTGGTGTGCTCGGCACCTCCCCCCTACCACGGGACCTCCACGGTATGTCTGCTGGCACAACCGTGCGCTATTTTGCCCCGGGGCAAACAGCCACGCTTCCCCCCCCCCCGCATTTTCTGCTTGAGTGCCTGTGGCCATTGACTGGCTTGAGGTCACCCAGCAAATTCATGGCAGAATTGGGGAATTTAACCTGGCTCTTCCAGATCTTAGCCTTTCTTTTCCTGGCCTTACTACTAAGCTGCAGAGCCTCTACCTTGGGAATTATATCGTGTCTTTCCCATGTTCCCAGTAACTTTTGGCCTCTTTGTTGCTTTCTCCCACTTCAGTATCTTTTCTAGTCTCAGGCTTGGCTGCACTTTTTCCATTCCAAATGTAGGCCCTGTTATGAATTCACACTACACAGACAGCTGGGGTGTAAGTTGCATAGCTGAAATTTGTCATGCCCAGATGATTAACAGCCTGTCCCACAAGAGGTACAGCACTTTTTTGCAACTGGGAGGAGGAACAGGAGGGGGAAAGTGTTCATGGGTGCACAGATCCAGCCAGCGCTTGGGGTGGACTGTTCTAGTTCAGCTTTCTGATGGTCCTCCTTGCCAAACCATTGTTGTCAGCAATGTCCTCAACTGCACTGAATCCTGAATATTGGGATGGGAGCTTGGGGGTGGGTAAGATGCACCACAGGGCTGAGCAAACAGGGCACCTCTGAAGTCCTGTGGAGAGGGACCCAGGGAAGCATCAAAACTGTGTCCAAAAGGGAGCGGGTGGCTTTGAGTTATTGTTTATTTCAAAACATCCCTCTCCCACCTTTCCATGCAAAAGTTCTTGAGGCAGGTACTAAACACACACCCCCAAACTGTTTCTTTCTTTGTTTTGTTATCTGGCACCCCACTTCTCCTCTCCAGTGGACCCCAAAGTGTTTCATGACATCATCAGCAACCACCCTGTGAGATTCAGGTGGGTCGCCATGTTGGTCTGAAGCAACAGAACAAAGTTTGAGTCCAGTGGCACCTTTAATACTAACAAAGTTTAATTCTGGGTGTGGTGACTGGTTCAAGGTCACCCAGTGAGCTTCTAAAGCAGAGTGGCCATTTGAACAGACGTCTCCCAGATCCTAATCAGACTCTGTAAGCAGCACACCATGTGGATAGAATGAAATTTATGTATTCAGTGAATCTAATTTCCATACTTTTGCCAAAGGAACTTAAGCTGGCATACAGCAGACTGGGTTCAAATGCCCTCCTCTGCCATGAAGCTTGCTGAGTAACTGTGGAGATATAAAATTTCCGGAAATTTTGAAGTTCGGGAAAAACCCCGTTTTTTTCCCCGGGTTCTTGTGTGGAAAAAAACGGAAATTTTCGGAAAAATTGAAAAAAATGCTACATTAGCATTTCTTTTGTCTTTTCTACATTGAAAGTCATTCTTTTAGTTTAGGAACATAAAATATGACTATGGACATTTTTACTTGGCATGAAATTATCACAACTAGCATATTAAAAATATAGTGTATCCAAACAATTATTACAAACAGAATACCCACCTACATGCAAAAACAAAACTGAAACTTTTTTATTTTCTTCTGACAATCGCACCTCCTAAAGGAAGAAATGCATCTTATTCTTGCATTGGAGAGTTCAGTTTGTAACCTAGGACTTGCTTGTCAGTGCACAGAAATTAGATCAATCTGATACCATATATATATATTTTAGAAATGATTTGGAAAATATTTGAACACCTTGTCTTAAAATATTTTATTCATCATGTTAAAATAAAACGTTCCATAATCATTTTTTTTTCTTTTCTTGTTTCAATTTTTCCGATTTTTCGGAAAAAAACAAAAAAGCTTCAGGGAAAAAAATTGGAAAAAAACGTTTTTTTCCTGAATTTTCCCATTTTTTTTCCGGGCCTTCACATCTCTACCCTGGAGCAGTAACTACCTTACTGGGCTGTTATGCAGATGAAAAGGGGATAGGAAGAGCCATGTATATTTCCCTAAGCTTCTTGGAGGAAGGGCAGAATAAAAAACAGGAAGCACATGTTTTCCTTGAAAAAGGTCCTAGATGCAGTACTTGGTATCTCAGATAGCAGGTACTTGGAGAGATAAAAATGCGCTACAAAGAGCAAATCCCCCTTCTCCATTTTACCCTTAGTATAATCCTGCAAGGGAGAGTGACAAAGGTTCCTCATTGAGTTCTGCGGCAGAATAAAGATTTGAACTCAGGCCTCTCCAGAGTTACCTGGTGGTGACGCCATGTTCTCACAAGAACAGTGAAGTGGTTTTTAAAAAAGAGCAATGGTAGCAATTAAAAGGGGGGGAAAGCTCAATCAGTCACCGAAGGCACAGGAGGCATGACACTCAGCTCAAGCCTGCGTGTCATAAATTCCATGGAATTCAAGGGAGGGTTTCTCCAGTCATTGTCTTTACATGGCATCTGTAAGCCAATCAAGATGGTGCTGTATGGAGAAGTCCTGCCATAAGTGTGTCATCACTCACGTAACTTCTAAAAGTGCCTGGAGTAGTCTTAGGAGCAGAGTTTAAGGAGCAGACAAATCCATAGATTTCCCAATTGGTGCTTTGCACTTCAAGATAAAGATGGAATTCTTCTCTCGACATCTTGTTTCCCAGAGTGGCCAGTTGGATGCCCTGGAAGACCCACCATCAGGGCATGGAGTCCAAAACTGCCACCTCCTGTTGTTGTACTCCTGTAACTGCCTCTGCTCATGGAGGTCTTGTTTTGCTAACCACTGATGGACCTCCCGTACATGAATTTGTCCAGTCTCCTTTTCAAGTCCAGAGCCATCACTGCATTTTGCCTCAGACATGTGCAGTGGGAAGGAGGACTTCTGTGTTTAGATTACTGACTTAGATATCCATACCCTGCTTTACTCTCCAACAGGGACCCAAAATGGCTTACACAACATCATTATCTGCTCCTCCATTTCATGCTCACAGCAGTGACCCTGTGAGATAGATTAGGCTGAGAGTGTGTGACTGGCCCAAGGTCACCCAGTGAGCTTCCAGGGTAGAGTGTCCCAGATCTTAGTGTGACATTCAGTTTCCCGCAGTCACTAATGTTGTGATTCTTTCTGTATTTAGGCATGAGGCAGCACAACGATGTCGGCACACAGTACCGTTCAGCCATCTATACCTTTGGACCTGAGCAACTGGAATCTGCCCTGAGGTCCAAAGCAGTATATGAACAGGTATAGCAGGGAGGGAAGGATTTGGGGGCGGGGGGGAGTGAGAGCATGCAACTGGTTCTTCACTATCACCCTTCACGGTTCATTCTTCATGGCTGTACCCTCACGTCTCTGGCTGTTTTATACTGGGGAAGTGTAGCACTGAATACACTTCATAATCTAGTGTAGCCTTCAATTCTACAGAAGCAACAAAAATTGCAGAGGCTCCGGACTGCAGTTTCCGCAGTGATGTGGTGACAAAAAAAGGCTAATGAGATCTTGGACTGTATCGGCAGAGGCATAACATCCAAATCACAAGATGTCATAGTTCCACTGTACACTGCATTGGTCAGGCCGCACCTGGAGTATTGTGTGCAGTTCTGGAGGCCTCACTTCTCAAATGATGTGGACAGAATGGAGCGCGTGCAGAGGAGAGTGATGAGGTTGATTGGGGGCTTGGAGACCAAGCCCTATGAGGAAAGACTGAGGGACTTGGGGATGTTTGGTCTGGAGAAGAGGAGGTTGAGGGAAGACATGATTGCTCTCTTGAAGTATTTGAAGGGCTGTCACTTAGAGGAGGGCAGGGAGCTGTTCCCCGGGCTCTTAGTTGGTCCTCCTCATAGGCAGCAGAAGTTGAATTCATTATGCAAATAGTTAAAATACAGAAAGTTATGCCGCCTTCAATGCCATCATGCAAATTTGAATAACATATTCAGGAAATATTTCCGCATCTCTTTTGTACAAATTGAGTTTCTTCTGGTGTGAACTTTTATGGGTTTCTTTAAAAGTAGGAAAGTGTGCAAAATTCTGTCCAGGACAGATACCTTGAAGCTTGAATGGACAGATACCCTGATTCCTAAACTACACATTACAGTGTGGTTGTAAGTTGTTAGAGGCAGCAGACTTGATTTCAGATCCTCACTCATCTACAAAGATTTCTGGATGACTTTCAGCCTGTCAGTCTCACTCGTAAAGGCTAAGCAGGTGGAGTGTGCCTTATGGATGTTGTTATGAATAATTTGGTGGTAGGGCAGGATTAAAAAAATGAAATTATAAAGAGATGCCTGGCTCACTTCTCCCTGATATTTAATCTGGGGGGGGGGGAGAAAGATAGTGGGTGCTATTTTAAAATGTTGCGAGGTTCTAAGTCAAGTATCCTTCGATGATGCCGGCAGTTATTTCTAGCTGAGAGTTCCTTGTAGACACAAAGGTGAGGCTTCCTGGACTTTTCTAAAGTACCTTCTGCTCCAGTGTGCTGGATGAAAGCCAGAACTTTGTTAAGTCGCTCGCTTAACAAAGAAGTCAGAGAGTGATTCAGCAAGAATACAGCTTTATTCTTCAACTCGAACACAACTCGAACACGGATCAACATCTGATAGCCAGAACAGCCTTTACATTGCAGCTGTCCTGCTTTTAAACATTCCCGGCTAATGTAGCCACACTCCTGTACAAATACCAACCAATAAGGTTGTTCACATAAGGACCAATCACGGACATTCCCGCTCAGGGAGCTTGCTGTGAAGTGATTGGCTTGTTACTTCCTGGGCTAGCGATACAATTGGATGTATTTGGATCCTAGCCCAGGATGAAGCTTAACATTGCTTTTCAATGAGATGTTTCACATACATTCTGCATTCCATGGCAGCTTTGGAATACACTACAAACTGGCTTTTTGCTTTGGGAGAAGGGGCCAGTGAGTGTCAGGAAACACACTGGGAGGCACAACCTTGGTGATCACCGGTTTGTGGATACCTGTACGTCTGGAGAAATAGAAACTTCAAGGGGGCAGTCAAGAGAAAAGAAATGGTGCCAAGAAAAGGACTGAATTGTCTCCCTCTGCCCTGCTGCCTTGATGCAAAAAACCCCCAACCATGGGCGCTAGTTGCACTTGAAAACAACAGTTGGTGTTCTACACCATACAACCTGGAAAATCTACAACGATTAATGAACTCCGGCCATGAAAGCCTTCGACCACATAGTTGGTGTTCTGTTCATGAATCTCACGTCACATCTAGTTTTCCCTCAGACAAATGGGCATGCCTCTGAAAGCTGCACTTGTGGAGTTTTTTTATGTGTCATTTTAGAAATCTGCCTGATTAGTCAGGGGGACTTTTGTCACCCAGATCCCCCCCCCCCTTAATAGACAAATCTCACTGATGGATCATCAAAGCATCACTACGCTGGGTCACTTGCCTTTATGATATTATTGTTTTCATTTTGAATTGTGGGCTGCTTTTGAAATGCATGCTGAAAGGCACTCTGGAAATATAATTAATTTAATTAATTATGGAATTAATTAGGGAGGAAAAACCCCATCCCAAGGCACAGACGCATCCCTCATTCAAGATGCTAAATGTTGGTCTCGTTGCCTTCCTTGAAATACTAGCAGGCTTCTCTCAGTCACATACATGTGATTTAAGGAGGCTTCATCTTGTTCCTCTCTGATGAGCAGAACCTGTCCCCTAAGCTCCGTCCCTCACAACAAAGGCAGGCAAAGCGAAGATAGATAATTACTCCTTCAAGGCCATACATGTATTCTCAAATAGAAAATAGGGATATGTGTGTGTGTGTGTGGGGGTGGTTTCCTTGGCAACTTGCCATCAAAGCAATTGGCAACTAGGGAGCAAAGGTCACTGGCAGAGACAGGTGCAGCAACTCCCCACCTCCCCACCCCTTTCAAGATGATTCATTGCCATAAGCGGTTTGGCTCCCCCCTCAGCCGTCATCCTAGGGACAATTAAGGGCAACCCAGGTTAAAACTGGCACGTGCTGGGCAGACATCAGCATGTGGTTGAGGGGGAGGGAGCGTGGGGTGTTGGGGGGCTGGGCAAGCGGCATGAATGGCAGCTCCCGGTTGCAGAAAACAGCTCCATGTTTGCAGACTTTTCGAGAGGTGAGATCGAGTGCATGCTGCATGGTTCTTCCTAGATGGAATTGCCCCAAGATTTTCCTACCCTAAACCACGAGCATTCCGGTCCCCTGGGAGCTTAGTTTTGGTGGGAAGCAGTGCCCTGGATTAGGAGAGATGCATTCATTCCCAACCCCCCCCCCCAAAAAAAAAGATGAAAAGAAACACATTTCATTGCGGCACGTGTGAGAGAAAGAATCTGAAGTGGCAAGCCCCCGCCCACCTGCCCACCCCAGTTACATGATGTTTGTCAAAGCTGCATCATGGCTATCTCGTTGTAAGCTTTCCCAGTGGTTGCTGCAGCCATGGCTCTATTGAAACACAAAACGTGCATGGAGTGAGTTTTGGTGCCCCCTTCTGGCACGAAGGCCTGACAATGTTGCATGACAGAATGATTGTCTGACGTGATGTTATATTATACTATTATTATAGTAGAGAATCTGACTGGCTAGCTGGAGGTGCTTTTCCAGAGAACTCTGAATTATGGAAGTTTGATCTATAGGCATCTGAAAAATTCTCCCCCCCCCCCAAGTCTACATGGGCATGGTTTCCCAAGGATTACCCAATTGTGGAACCACACACCCATGGCAATTTCCCTTATGTTTGTGGTTTCTGCACCCCTGATCAGAATGTTTATTCGAAATTCCAGTTGTTGTTGTTATTAATTGTCACAGTCAGATATTTGACTTGTAGATGGTATTCTGCAGTTTGAGATCTATCCAAGTTCTTGGGATTGCAGATGTATCTCTGCAGGATTCTTGCTGTTCCAAGCAACACTATCTTCTGGAGCTGAGTTGGTGTGATTTGCTCAATTCCCAGAATGTCCAGGTTTTTCTTGAGACTTCTAGGCACTGCTCCAAGGACTCCAGTGATAACTGGCATGATGGTAACCTTCCTCTCCCAGAGGCTCTCTAACTCTATTTGTACATTTTAGTATTTTGTGAGCTTCTCCTGTTCTTTCTTTTTTATTCTGCTCTCTCCTGGGATTTCAGTGTCAATTATCCAAACCCTATTTCTCATTTTTTGTACAACTGTGATCAGTGTTCCCTCTAAGCTGAGTTAGTGTGAGCTAGCTCACAGTTTTTTAGCCTCTGGCTCACACATTTTTGTCTTAGCTCAGGAAGGAGGGCTCCAGAACAAACTAATTTATGCAGCAGCCAAATCTCCTGCTCACAACTTTAATGCTGGTAGCTCACCAAGTAGAATTTTTGCTCACAGGGCTCCATAGCTTAGAGGGAACATTGATTGTGATACCAGGGGTGTCATGCTCCAAGTGTTTATCTGTTTGTAATCGGAAGTCCCAAAGAATCTGTGTTTCCTCATTCTCCATGATTTTGTCTGGTTTGTGCTCCCATGGATTTCTGGCTGATGATAATCCATACTTCCTGCAAAGATTCCAGTGCAACATAGCTGCAACTCTGTTGTGACTTTCTTTATTGCCACTCTGAGGAATTTTACTGCAGGCACTGACCATATGGTTGACTGTTTCATCCTTTGTCTTGCAAAGTCAGCATTTGCTGTTATCACTGGTCTTCTGAATTTTGGCTTTCATACTATTCATTTCAAGTGCCTGCTCTTGTGCAGCTAGAATGAGCCCTTCCATTTCCTTCTTCAAATGTCACTTCTAGGGTGTAGTGAGTGATGCATTGTCATTATTTTGTGAGTTTTGAGATCTATCTATATATCTCTCAACAAGTATCCACTGCATGCGGATACTTATTTCCACAGATGGGGGCACACTCCCCCCCCAAAACAGGTTTTTCTACAGACTCGGGGGGCTCTGTGGGTCTGCAGAAAAATCCAAAAAGTAAAAAAAAACCTTGGGGAGGGTTGAATCCCCCCCCAATACCTTTTGAAATGGCCACTGGAGGGATCTGCTCCAGGGCCTCCCACATCGACAGTGAGATATAGAATACCTGATAGCTGGAGAGGGAGAGAGGGAGGAGGAAGCAAAAAGCAAAACTGTATCTGGGATTGGGAAGGATTCTTCCTGCAGTATGAATGGCTAAATAGCAGGAGGTTTGTAGCCAGGCCTGGGACTAGGATAGTCCACTCCAGGTTGGGAAATTCCTGGATATTTGAGGGGTGGAGCCTGGAGATGGTGGGGATTGAGGCA